CTGTTTATGTTGTGTCTGGGAAAGTTTAGGCAAATCAAACACAGAAAGATGAAGCATATTTATTATTGAGTTGGCTAGTTTCCAACCCATTTCCCTTAAGTATGACCGTCTTTGTGAATTTGATTGATTTTCTGGTGCTCAAGCTTTCTTTGTTTTCCGAATTGAATGATGCCTAAATTGACAATTAAGCGTTACGTTACATGTTCTGAACTCAAAATCGATATATACTTGATTATTTCTGAAACAATTTGGAGCCAAATCTTTCCCATTCAAATGAAATATTAGGGGTATTCAAATGAAAGATAAATCCCATTAAAATTGATCTACATTATTAAAGTGCTTAAAACTGAAAATCAACTTTCAAAAATCTTTTACCCATACATGAACTAAAATGGATGATCTAAAGAGCTCGTCAGTTTGTAATGTAGAATGTTTGAGACCTAACAAAAATTGATTTGTAAAAGTAGTTGAAGTGTTTAAATCAAGTTGAAACGTTTAGATTTAACTATTTTTTTTGCCGAAAAGTGTAGATTGAATGGAAGTTTCAATTCAACCATCTGTTTTGACTGGCTTGATGCATAATTTTTTAAAATGTTTATATTTGCAGACACTTTAGATAATGTAGATCAACTTTAATTGGTGGATCATAAAAATGGATGTCATTGAATTTTCTGTGTTAGAATTTTACTTAAAAGTTCTTACCAAAGGCTCCAATTCTCTCTCTTTATATTTCGTTATACTTGTGCCAGTTCTTCTCTTTATATCACCATTTTCAGTTTTGACATCTATAGTCAATATTAATTACCTGAATATGATTCTTGGGCTGTAGGCTTCAGCAGAAGTAGACTTCTTCACAGAATATGGAGAGGGAAGCAGGTATAAAATAGAAGAAGTGATAGGCAAAGGGAGCTATGGTGTTGTATGCTCTGCCATTGATACACATGCTGGAGAGAAGGTCGCAATCAAGAAAATTAATGATATCTTCGAACATGTTTCTGATGCTACACGCATTCTTCGCGAGATTAAGCTTCTTAGGATCTTGCGCCATCCTGACATTGTGGAAATAAAACATATTCTATTGCCGCCTTCTAGACGGGAATTCAAAGATATTTATGTTGTTTTTGAGCTTATGGAATCTGACCTACATCAAGTTATTAAAGCAAATGATGATCTAACTCCAGAACACTACCAGTTCTTCCTTTATCAGTTGCTTCGAGGTCTGAAGTACATACATACAGGTGATACTACTTTGCATGTGGATTAAGAGAGTACTCAACATTCGTATACTTTCCTTCCTGTCATGTTTTCTTATCCAAAGGTTTTATGCATGCAGTCATCCTTGTCTGTACATCAGTTAGATAATCCTATATTTACGAAATAGCATTGTGCACCTTTGTGACAAAATATCTTTTTGATCCTTGCTTTTGGTTATGGGTAGCGTTTTCTGGAATTCTGATTGTTTTTGCGTGTCAAGTGTACACACAAAGGTGATTACAGAAAATAGCAGCAATAATGGGTAGGGGATTAGCTTACGCGTACCCCATATACCAAACCTTTTAACCTTCCTCTACAAAAACCTTTTGTTCATACCTAACGGGTAATTTATAAATCACAACTACCTTGTCTTCTAGGTCAAGTTATACTTTTTGCTTTATTCTGTAAGATAAAGAAGTAAAACAGTAAAATTTAAAAAGATCATTAATTTAGAAAATGGTAAAATAATAAAATGGGGAAAATATTGATTTTCTTAAAGAATATATATGTCAAGATTAGATCAAGTATAGACAGTAGTCCACAAGCTAATGCCATTAAGATGCTCCAAGTTCTCTAGTTGTTTAATTATTCATACATAAATATAAGGTTGATTTGTTATCAGATATGTTACGCGGGCACTTCTATACTGAAGCCGTACCCGTACCGGACACGAACCCAACATTTCCCGTATCCAAACTTTATGGACACTTCTTGAATATATACATGCATTTATTACGGCATATACTCAATTATACAATATATCTGTTAATTTAAAACACTTGCCAAACACTTCTTGGATGTCTAGCTTGCATTGCACATCCCTTTCTTGAAACTAATTATATATGGGTCGGGTCCGTTTCAATCCATACCCAAGTTCAAAACTATATCGTTAAAGGGTCGTTTGGCTTTCTAGTAAAAAATGATACTTTCCAATTTATAACAATCAATATGATAAAGGAAACTTAAAAATGTGATCGGAATTTTAATTCTAGTGACACATGAAGCGGAAAAAAATGATCTCAGTACATTATTAATTCAATATATATATGTAGCCGCGTCCGTGTACCCTACATTTTATAGTTTTGCCTTGTCCCGCAACCGTTCTAGTACCCGTACCTGTACCCGTTTCCATGCAACTTAGTTTATCCTAAAACAATGTTAATAAATATAAGTTTGTTTTATTATTTTAGATGAGTAAATTGGCGGGGTAAGCAAACCTGACCTACCTGCCCTTTTTTTTCAAAAAGGCAAGAATCTCTTATCCTTAACCTTCATATTTAGTTAAGTGGTTAAGAAAAGTTTACCATCCCCAGAAAATAGGGTGAATGGTATCTGTCAATTTCCATCCTAAAGCCAAAAGGTTCATGTGCAGTAAAGCATGATGCACGTGGAAACATGGATATAATAATTGAAGTAATATCTAATGCAACAAAGGACGTTAAACCATGCAACTCGTTTGCATGCATGATATGATGCACAAGCGCAGAGGAGTGATCCTCATTCTGTTATTTTCTTATGTAATGGTTCTTAAGCGGGATCTTGGTAGGTCAAAAATTTTTATGCACTCATCTAATAATCAGTCAGATAAATTGTTCTCTTTGATGTTGTGTTTCTGAAGATATCTGTTAGACATTATTTTCTCTTTTCAGGAGTGCTTCATATTCTAACTACCGTTAGGTTTCCCTTGCCAGAGTTTGGCTGGGCTTCACGTTATGATGATTAACCACAGTCGCAATACGCCAGTACCTCTAGTTACAGGTTTACAAATCCAAAAATTGAATTCTGAGGATTTAACTAGAGAATTATATAGCAAACTCAAGACACCCACATACATATCAGGCATTATCTTCCCCCTTTGTTTTATAGTACCAAAAATTTAAATGTTTCAGACAAGTTTGTGTATTGCGATAAATTAAAAAAAAATTCATGACTCAGTAAGTTCCTATTCACATTTCTATGTAAACTTGCCATTTTGATGCTAAATCACAAACTGGAGAACTCAAAAGATATCATCATACATGGATGAAAAGCACAGTAGCGGATCGATAAAATATTTAGTAACAAAATGCTTCTACCTCATCCTGGGAGAACACATGTTAAGTATCCTTCCATGTATACTTCAATGAGTTGTGGATGAACAATATTTACATCATAAAAAACATTCATAACCTGTTTAAAACAAAATGGAAAATTCTTAATAAGCAGAGAAGTAGAATGATTTCTGAAGAATGATCTGAAATATTTGTCTTTATTGAAGCTTGACTTGAAAAATACAGCAGCAGATCTGAGTATATATAAGCTCAGATATAACTAATTTCTCCTAAAAAGAAGCATAGAAAAATACAGCAGCAGATCTGAGTATATATAAGCTCAGATATAACTAATTTCTCCTAAAAAGAAGCATAAAAATCCTACCAGACTTGTGTAGAAATTTCTAAGCTCAGATATAACTAATTTCTCCTAAAAAGAAGCATAAAAATCCTACCAGACTTGTGTAGAAATTTCGAGCATTACAACTCATTATTGACTAATTCTATACCAGAAAAGAAGGAGCAGAAAAATCAATTCTGTAACATCAAATAAATAACAGTAAAAAACTGAGTAAGTTGCACTAATTTGTAACACTCCCCCTTAGTGCAAACTTACGACTAATTACTCCAAGTACAACTCTAAACTTTTCAAACTTGATTTTAGCTAAAGCTTTTGTGAAGATGTCTGCAATTTGATCATTCGTAGATATTCCCTTCAACTCAATTTCTTGTTCCAATACCTTCTGTCGAATGTAGTGATGACGGACTTCAATATGCTTTGTTCGCCTAGGGAATATTGGATTTGATGCAAGTTTCACAGCACTTTCATTGTCACAATTGATTTGTACAGCATAATCAATTTTGCACGTCTTCCAATAATCTCTTTAGCCACATGCATTCTTGTGCAGCTATAGTTGCTGCAACATATTCAGCTTCAGTGCTTGATAAAGAGATTACAGATTGCTTTTTGCTACACCATGAAATCACAGCTGAACCGATGTTGAAGCAATAACCTGAAGTTAAATGTCTATCATTTGCATCCCCTGCCCAATCTGTATCAGTAAAACCACTTAACAAGAATTTTTCAGATTTCTTATACATAAGACCATGATCAAGAGAGCCCTTTACATATCTCATAATTCTTTTGGCTGCATCTAGATGAGAATTTTTTGGACATTGCATAAACTGAGAAATTATGCCAACATAATAAGCAATCTCATGTCTTGTGATAGTTAGATAAGTTAACTACCAACAAGTTGTCTGGATTTTCTAGCATCCTTTAATGGTTGTCCTTCATCTTTCATCAGCTAGTCCTTCATCTTTCATCAGCTTGAGGTGTGGCTCCATTGGAGTAGTTTATTCTTTTGACTCCCCCATGCTAAAACACTGCAATAGTTCCTTTGCATAACCTTTTCGAGAAATAAAATATCCATGGTCCAACTTTTCAACTTCTAAACCAAGAAAACAGCCAACCTCCCCCAAGTTCTTCATATCAAAACGAACAGATAGATCATCTTTCAACATGGAAATTTCAGCTTCGTTATTTCCAGTAATTATCATGTCGTCTACGTACAACAAATGCATATTTGATTCTAATTTAATAAACAAACTAGAATCTGCAACAGAAAGCTTGAAGCCACAGAAGATGAAGTATTGAGCAATTTTACGATACCAAGCACGAGGCGCTTGTTTGACGCCGTACAATGCCTTCTTTAATAGACAAACGTGATGGGGATATTTTTTGGAGACATATCTTCTTGGCTGCTCCATGAACACTTCTCGATCCAGTTCACCATAAAGAAATGCGTTCTTTATATCCAATTGCCACAACTTCCATTCTTTAAAAGCTGCAAGAGAAAACACAGTTCTTACCGTTACCATTTTCGCAACGGGACTGAATGTTTCTTCATAGTCCAACCCATAGCTTTGGGAGAAACCACGCGCAATAAGACTAGCTTTGAATCTATCAATGCTCCCATCTGATTTCTTTTTCAAACGGTAAACCCATTTATAGGAAATAGGCTTGCAATTTTCTGGTTTAGACACCAACTCACATGTCTGATTCTTGTCCAAAGCTTCAATTTCTTCTTTCATGGCTGTTTCTCATTCTGGATGATTTTTGGCCTGCTCATAACTTTCCGGTTCTTCATTTAATGCTCCTGTGAAGAAACATGAGGTTATAGTGCAATTGTTTAGTTGTACCTCATAGTATTTGAGGTACTCTGGTTGATTTCTCTCTCTTGATGACCTTCTAATTGTGTGTTCAACATCTTTTGAGCTTGATGGATCACTCCTTGAAGTTTAAGATTCATTATTTCTTTGTGTGGTGGCTTCAGGAAATGGTTGGTCAGAGGTATCTTGGTCATCATCAAAAACAACATTTTGGACAATTGACTTTTGTATTTGACGCCAAGCTGATACTTCATCAAAAACAACATCTCTAGATGTGATAAATTTCTTTGTATTTAGATCCATACACTTCCAGTCTTTCCTGCATGAATCGTAGCCAACAAAATGCATTTCTTTGCTTTGGGGTCAAGTTTGGTTTGATTTGTTTTAGGAACATGAACATAACAAATAGAACCAAATACTCGAAAATTATTTACATTTGGCTTTAGATTATACAATAATTCAAAAGGAGCTTTTTCTTTACCCGACCAAGGAGGTAGACGATTTATCACATGACATGCACATTGTATTGCTTCAGCTCAAAGCTCGCGAGGAAATTTTTTATCATGTAACCATGAAAGACTTGTTGAAGCAAGATGTGCCAACTTCCTTTCTGCAACCCCATTTTGCTGAGGGGTATTAGGACATGTCATTTGTCGTTGAATGCCGCTGCTGTCACAATATTGAGGAAAATCATTTCATGAACTCACAACCATTATCGCTTCTTAAGCATTTTATATTCTGGCCAAACTCATTCTTCACAAGAATCACAACATTACTGAATTCAATGAACTTGGAGAGTGCTTCATTTTTCTCTTTCAAAAAATACACCTAAGTGTACCTGGAAAAATCATCCACCAATATCATGGCATATTGTTTTCCACTATAGCTTGTTGTTCTTGTTGGTCCCATTAAGTCTGCCATCCACCAATATCATGGCATATTGTTTTCCACTATAGCTTGTTGTTCTTGTTGGTCCCATTAAGTCTGTGTGAACTAGTTCAAAAGGAGTATTGTTTTCCACTATAGCTTGTTGTTCTTGTTGGTCCCATTAAGTCTGTGTGAACTAGTTCAAAAGGAGTTGATCTACGGTTTGATGAGCTTTTGAAGGGAAGACAATGTGATTTGCCATATTGGCAACCTTGACAAACCACTTTTTCATGTACATTCTTCAATGTTGGTAGACCATCTAACAATTTTTGTGATAAGACTTGTTGCAACATTTGATAACCTAAATGTCCTAATCGAGCGTGCCATATAGCTGCACTACCAGTTTGACTCGTCTTCTTTACATAAGCCTCTCCTACTGACAAGACGAATAAGGAGCCTCTCTTGTCACCAGTAAGAACAACATCAGCTTCAACATTTCTCATATTGTCAAGCACTTTCACATCATTAGGACCAAACAAAACATATTTTCCAGAATTAGTAATTTGAGAAACTGAAACTAAATTTTTCTTCAAACCTAGAACATGATAAACATCATTTAATTTGATATCTGATTTATCAGCGGCAATCTGCACGACACCTTCTTTTTTCCATCGGATAAGCTGAATTGTCAGCTGTGACAATTACACGTTCTCCATTGTGTTGTCGTAGCTCTGAAAATAATGAATCATTGCATGTGACATGGTGAGAGCAACCAGAATCAATGATCCATTCATGTTTGTAGTCGACATAGTTGGCGTGATACTGATCTAGAGGTAATTTTAAAGCAGTTGCATCTCTTCCTTCAATTTCATCGGCAGTAAGACATTGCTCCCAATTGAGTTGATCATCTTCTTCATCTTCACAAGCAACATTAGCTTTGAAAATCTTTACACGACAATATTTTTTGATGTGCCCAATCTTCCCGCATCGATAGCACTTGAAAGATTTGCTACTTTGTGGACTGTCAACCTTTTTCTTGTTGATGTTGTCTTCTGGATCATTCCCATTTGATTTTCCTCTTGAGAAAAGAACATAATCATGTTCAGAATTAAAATCTTTGGCCATTTGTTTTGCCAGAGCCTCTTGGTTTGAAAGAAGATTCTCCAACTCTTCCACTGATGGTTGAGTTGCCCACCCTTGAATTGAGGTGATAAATGGTGTGTATTCCTTCTTTAAACCACGAATGAAAAATCTTCTTAGACGAGCTTCACTAATATTCTCATCCGCATCCAACTCTGAAATTTCAGCACAAATACTTTTTATGTGCAAGAAATATTCAGAAATTGACATACCTCCTTGTGTTGTCATTGCTAGCTTATTTTCCAAAAACTGTAACCTTGTTGTATTCTTCTTGGAAAATATCCTCTCAAGAGTTTCCTAGACTTGCTTTGGAGAGTTGATGTCACGAACGTGATCAATCAACTCTTTGCTAATTGATGTCCTCAAAGCAAATAGAGCCTTCCCACATTTGATCTTCCATTTTCTTCGTGGCTCACAATTATCAGGAGTATCAGCTGGAATTTCTGTGTCTGAACCTGCTACTAATTCCCACAAGTCTTGACCTTGAAGATAAGCTTCCATACACATTCTCCAATACTTGTAGTTTGTTCCTATAAGTTTTTCAACACCATTTTGTGTGTTAGAACTACTTCCCACGGTGACTAGTTCCATACTATGGAATAAGAAGTTTCCTGTTAATAAAAGAAAGGTGAAAACAGTGAAGAACCTGAACCAGGCTCTGATACCATAAAACAAAATGGAAAATTCTTAATAAGCAGAGAAGTAGAATTATTTCTGGAGAATGAACTGAAATATTTGTCTTTATTGAAGCTTGATTTGAAAAATACAGCAGCAGATCTGAGTATATATAAGCTTAGATATAACTAATTTCTCCTAAAAAGAAGCATAAAAATCCTACCAGACTTGTATAGAAATTTCTAGCATTACATCTCATTATTGACTAATTCTATACCAGAAAAGAAGGGGCAGAAAAATCAATTCTGTAACAGCAAATAAATAACAGTAAAAGACTGAGTAAGTTGCACTAATTTGTAACACTGTTGCCATCAGCAGTATGAATGAAAACTTACGAAAAGTGATCTACATTAGAAAGAAGGGAAGGAAAATGAATTAAAAACTATGCAATAAAAACGCGCTTTAGGGCTGTATATATGGAATCTGAGCAGTATCCAAACTAAGGATCATTCAGTAGATACTAAAATAAATTGGATGCAAGTCTTTTTTAGGGTATTACTGAATCTAAAGGAAACTTGAATGCTGGTTTTGGAGTGTGTTATGCTAAGTTGCACGGGTATGGGTACGGGTGCGAGTACAGTGGTGTGACATATAGAATTATTATTTGTTGAATTAATAGAATTATTATGTGTTGATTTTAATAGAGTAATTATGTGTTGAATTAATGAGAAGGAGGATCAACTCCATGCGTGAATGAAGTGTAGGAAAGCTTTCTGCTCAATTTTTAATATGCTTGTTCAGTTGTGATCACTGAGATGAAGGCAACTTTTTTTATGAGATTCAAAACCCAGGTTATTGGACACTATGGTGGCATGCATATTCATCAGACTCCAGGTGTGACATGTACAGCAGCCTGCTTCTTTATTTCCTTTAATTGTAAAGATCCCTTCTCTAGCTTATAAACCTTTCCGAAGATGCCTAGAAGATGTTCTGCAACTTATGCCTTTCTAGAATCTCTAAGAAAAACCAATCGTTTCCATCATCGCGTCTGGGTCTTTCAGTAAATGTCAGCATATTGAGTACCGACTCTATCAATCAATCTGCTATTATATCAGAAGGTGGATCTATCAACAAGATATGCACATCTGAAGTCATGGATTTGTAGTTGATATCATGAACTCTTTGAGCAAGTAGTGCGATCGTTTCAGCATTTAAGTAACTGAGTTTGAAGGCATCATATAACTGAACGATGTAATGCTTTTTTATGGTTCTCATGCTTGATTAAAATGGATCATTATCAATCCGGACATAATGAATCAATTTAGTATGGAACTCTAATCTTTTGGGATCAATTGTTGACTTGCATGTGACTGGTGGTACATTCTACAAAAATCAGAACTTTTTTCTCCTATCAACTATGGACCTATATTGATGGTGTAAGGTGAAGATTCTTCATGATCTATGTTGTCATTTATTGCTATAACTTCTCAAGGGTGACACTTCTTGAGATTTGTACTGATAGTGCAGGAGCTGGGTATGGTTCCATATCTTTCATCTTCTTCTCTAGTCCCTTGATATCAATTTTCGTCCGTTGTCTCTTAGGTTCAGTTCTATCTTGAACTTTGCAACAGTTAAATAGGTCTTGGATTATTATTTTTTGCTATTGTATTTCTTGTTAACTCCTTGTGATTTGATGTTGTATTAAGGATTGGATTGCTTCCTAAGTTCACCTCTAGTCTGAAGAATATTTCCTGCTTGTTCTGTAATCAATTAGTACATTCCTCGTTTAGTTATTACAAGACCTATTTAAATCCTAAATCTCAATCTCTCTATTCGTTTTATCTGATTTTTTATTTTCCTGTGGTTCATTTTCTATTGCTGTATTCATTAGCACTTAACCTCATTATTTCGCTTCTGTAGGTTGAAAACTTGATGTATGAAGATGACACAGTTCTTTTCACTCTGTGTCTATCTTATTCTTCTTTTTAAATGTTGTTCTGATTTTGTTTCACATGAACTTGTAGCAAATGTCTTTCACAGGGACCTTAAACCCAAAAATATTTTAGCAAATGCTGATTGTAAACTTAAGATATGTGACTTTGGCCTTGCAAGGGTGGCATTTCATGATACTCCCACTGCCATTTTCTGGACGGTATGATAAAGTATTTTAAGTAACTTGCCTGGATCCAGTTAAAATTTGAAAATTTGTTACCTTTTGAATATCGCTTATGTGCTTCTCTTCTTGCAGGATTATGTTGCAACTAGGTGGTACAGGGCACCTGAGTTATGTGGTTCCTTTTTCTCAAAGGTTTGTAGATTCACAATTCTTTTTTCCTATGTGCTATATCTAGTGTTTCCTCTAATATCAGCAAAACTGTTGATTTTTTTCCTTTCTACATCGTCATTCTCTATAGTTTTTGCTGTATTCTGTTGTTTATTCAATAATAGTAAGATGTTCATCAGTAGGCCATAGTCTTCTGAAGAACTTTGGTTTTATCAATCATTCTTAACAAATGTCACAAAATACATTCATCTTGTGTGCAGTATGATTGTATTTACGGATATGCTGACCATATAACATGTATATTGCTCCGTGGTATTTTCCTTTACCATCGACTAATTAGAAGCTTGATGATGGTAGAAGTACAAAATTGTCTTTTGCTTTTCTGAATGCTTGAGCATTATTAATTTCCATAGTGTGGTTTGTTACGAAGCATTACTCTACCCTGTACTTTTCAAGCGAAGGTCCAACATCTTCAAGGTCACCAGCAATGATTTACTGCGTGGCTTCTTTTTGTTTACCTCCCTTCTTGTTTATCCTTCACTGTAACTCTGAAGGCTTTGAAAGCCTCACATGTATGATTCATGAGAAAAGTATCCGTAGTGGTTTTCTGGTAGTCCTGCAGAGTCTAAGCAAACTTATTGAATGATTTTTTTTGGTCCTTGACTTTATAGTTGAGGTTTTTCTGTTAGGGTTATGAGTCTTATGACCTCTTTTGAGCCTTTAGTTTACTTCAAAGTCACCCGTGAGCTTTCATATTTTCCTCTATACTCATTACCCAATAGCTGTAAACTGAAGATTAAGGTCCTTACCTGAAGATTACTCAAGCTAAGTTAGGCAGTTAAAGATGCAATATTTAAATGGATAATATTTTTATATCCTTTTATTTGAGAAATGGTTAGAAGTATTTGTTGCGAGAACTTTTTTCTTCTTATGTTTTCTGATGCCATCACTCTGCAAGAGAGAATCTCAATTCAAAATTTATTTTGGTAGATTTTTCTAATCAAGTTTGAAATATTTTCCTGAAGGTCTGAACAATGAACATGATCATGGTTCTGTCTGGATCTAGACCACTTCAAACTGGTCCAGATTAATTTTTATCCTAGTTTCTGAATGAAGGAAGAAATACTTCAGATGTGTACAACTTAGAGTGGAGTGCATTGATCATCTCCCAGTATAAGAAACACCAGGTAGCTGATGGATATGTAATCAAGGATATAATTTGTAGAGTCTAGCAATACTGAGGCAACACATATAATATTTACTTAGAAATGTAAAATCCTTGCATTAGGATCACTGCGTCATGTTTATTAGCAATTAGATCAGGAAAAAAATTGGTAAAATTTTTAGCAAAGCCATTGGATATCGAATTCCTTTCATTAAATCAGTGGGATTTGCTTCGGATCTCCTGAGTTTTAGTACCCACAAGTATAAAATTGTAGCACCTTCCAAATTCCTCGTAGTAAAAAGGAAGCCAATTCCATGTTCTCGTTCCAGTGGAAACATTGAAGATATAAACTTTTAGGGCAGTATTTTGACCCCAAAAATCAATAAAGTAGTAGGCCTATGTCAAATAGGCCTTCATCAAAATTAATGAAATCTGCCAGTTTGGGATCTGAAGAATGCATACATCCATGAGTAGAATGACTTTTGTCTTTGCTTATTTCTGTTTTTGAAAATATATGTATTGCTTTGTTCTTATGTTGTTACATTTTCTTAGACCTGTGTAGGAGGTGCTTTTTTTCTTTCATTTCTACTACTTTTCTTATACTGGATGAAACAGATTCACTGTGGCTGTAATGCTACAGTTGGGCTAACACCTCATTCCTTGAAGTAGTTTCACCCAGGTACTTAGCAGGCAATCCATGTTCTCATCTCATTTCATAATGCACACAATCACAAGGAACTGTTGGATGGTATGAAGGAATCTACTGCACTTAGTGCCAAGTGCCGTACATCATCATCCCTGGAGATTTGATTTTGCATGTGCATTTTATATTTCTAAGAAGTTCTTGAGGTGGAATTAAGAACATGTTCAGTAAGTTTGTCTATAAACATGCCCCTCTTTAGTTCCATACACTGGAAGTTGATTTCTTTCATTTTGTGGGTAGAGGGATACTGAACTTTGTTTGCATGGATTATATTTGTACCAGCATGCTTTTTTGCACAATAGCAGATTAGCAGCTTTCTGTTGAATTTTATTTTTATATTCTCTTGTTGCTCTAAGTTCATTAGTAGTTCTCATGGTTTGTGGTCAAGCATACACAATCTATCTCAATGTTCAACTATCCCATATTTGTGTTTAACCTCAAGCTTTCTCCTTTTTTTTGTCCTTCTTAGTTTGTAATTTGTTCGCTAAAGCTAGATAATCTGTATATTTATGTAATTTATGTTTGTGGTCAAGCATACACAATCTATCTCAATGTTCAACTATCCCATATTTGTGTTTAACCTCAAGCTTACTCTCTCCTTTTTTTTGTCCTTCTTAGTTTGTAATTTGTTCGCTAAAGCTAGATAATCTGTATATTTATGTAATTTATGTTTGTATCCTTTATAGTATACACCTGCAATAGATATATGGAGCATTGGCTGTATCTTTGCGGAATTATTAACTGGGAAGCCTCTTTTTCCTGGGAAAAATGTGGTCCATCAATTGGATATAATGACAGATCTTTTGGGCACGCCTTCTGCTGAAGCCATTGCCAGAGTAAGTATCAGTTCTAAAAATATGGATTGTCACTGAGTTTCACACATCTCCAAGTAATTACATTTTATCTCTTGTAGGTGCGCAACGAGAAAGCAAGACGATATTTAAGCAGCATGCGCAGGAAAAAGCCTGTACCTTTCTCTCAGAAATTTCCAAATGCTGATCCGCTTGCTCTTCGTTTGTTAGAGAGGATGCTAGCTTTTGAACCCAAGGATCGTCCAACTGCTGAAGAGGTACTGCTAGCAGGTTCTCTCCTGGTGACATTATCCCAGATTGGGATTTTGTTACTTTTATCATAAAATGAAAAAGGGTTTGTTGTATATATATCCCTTAAATCATGAAGATTTGCAAAACTACCCCTCAAACCTCAATATTTGCGAAACTACCTTCAGATCAACTGTGGAAATAATCCCCCCTCCAAAAAAAAAACCGAAAAAAGAAAATAAAGAAAAAAACAAAATCAACAAATCGTCAACTTCGACTTTTTTATTTTTTTTATATTGGAAGTATCTTATATCCAAAAAAGTTGTTGATTTTTTGATTAGGGGTATCTTATATCCAAAATTGATGATTTTGGGGTAGTTTTGCAGATACTAAGATTTGGTGGTGGTTGTACAAATTACACATGATTTAAGGGATATGTATACAAATAAACCAAATGAGAAACTGGATGCACAATCTAAAGGTGTGTAAGTTTTGCCACAACATGTCAGGCTTTGGCCGATCCTTATTTCAGGAACATAGCGAAGGTTGAGAGGGAGCCTTCTGCTCAACCTGTTACAAAAATGGAATTTGAATTTGAGAGACGAAGGATAACAAAAGAAGATGTCAGGGAGCTCATTTACAGAGAAATTCTTGAATACCATCCAAAGCTGTTAAAAGAATTCTTGGAAGGATCTGAATCTACTGGTTTCATGTACCCAAGGTATTAATTATAGTAACCATGATCTGTAAGTTCTACACCTGTTTCCCTTCATCTATTAAAACTTTTGAAAGAAAATTCGAATCAAATCTCAAGTTTTTCTTGAGTTGGACCGACAATAGAACCTGTGCTTCCATTAAGTGGTTTTTAAGAAAAGAACTCCAAAACATCAAAAGAATAAAGTACAACAATAAATATTTGTATCTCAACAGCTAACGTCTTTTCAACGTACCAAGATTGCAGAGATTTATAGAGTAGCATTTTGGACATAGGTGAACACTACTTGTCCCTCTAAAAGCTCATATAGAACTTTTGTCCTTGTAACTTTTTAGTCATCAAAATGTCTCCTTCATCAGCAGTAGTTCATCAGTATTGGTTTAAATTTGGGATAGCTGATTGCTGGAATTGACTCTGGGTATTCCAATATTTCCTACTTATCACTGAAGTATTGAATGGATTGCCCCCTCCCCTCCCCCTCCAATATGGACCTTCCATCTTTCTGGTAGTAATAGTAGTCATGAGTTGGTTATGTAAATGACCCATTTAGCCATGATGAAACATTGAAAATTTAATACCCTAGAAATATTGAGTCTTGCTGATACTAAATGCAGGAATCAGTACGAGAATCTTGGGAGTTTTTTACAGATCTTCCACCAGTTTTCTTTTCATTATTTAATTCTATTTACCTTTGTTCTTGAGTAACTGAAGATAAAACAATGGTATCATTTCATCTCAATAACTTTGTGCTAGGTGGTGAAACCACTTGTTGCGAAAGATGACACAGAAGTGCATCAGCAATTTTATCTGATCTGAAATAATCTTGGAAGCTTCTTTATTCACGTAGTTTCTGTAGAATTTGCTCATTAAGTTCTTCTTGCTCTACATTCTACTTTCTTTATCAACTAGTGTGAATACCGTGCAAAGCACGACATATTTTTTTCTGCTGCAGTAATCCCGGTTTTAACTGCTACAGTATTTAGACTTTTTGATAATGCTGCTGTATCCCCGCCTCTGCTACAGTATTCCCGTGAGCTACAATATTATTTTTTATAAAAAGCCTACAGTTTCATGTTTGCTACAACAATAAGAATACAGTAAATGTTACTGTAGTATTACTGTAGCGTGAATAATGAATCTTTGGTTCTCCCATTTGTATAGAGGAGTAGATTCAAAGTTTACATTTTCATTGTCATTACTGTAAGAACCTTTGTGTGTGCTGAAATTTATGTGGCTATTTAACCTTAAAATTTTGATGTCCTTCTGCATAGCTGGTTTCGGTGAAGTATATCTTAATTAACTATATATATATATATATATATATAAATTATATATATTATATATAGAGAGAGAGAGAGAGAGAGAGAAACTTATGTCAATTAAGTGGACGTTCACTAAGTTTCTTAGTCATTGATGATCACTTTGATTGAGCTACATTATGGATGATCCGCTCCTTGAACTTGATCTACATATTCTAAAACTCTAACGCACCAAATTTGGGGTGAACCCGTCGTGGTTTGACCTCCGTCGAGCCATGTAAAAGTTTCTATTCATTCGAAACGTTAAAATTGATACGAGTGGCATGAAGGGTCAAACACGACGGGTTCACCCCAAATTTGCTGTGTTCGGTTTTAGAATATGTAGATCAAGTTTCAACGGGAGCGGATCATCATAATGTAGGCTCAATCAAGTGATCATCAATGACTAAGAAACTTACGTGGACGTCCATTTAAGTTTGACATAACTTTCTGCTCTCTGCTCTCTCTCTCTCTCTATATACTTATATATATATACGTATATATATATATATAGATATATATACTATATTATATATACATTACTAGTTGTGCGCCCCCCTTTTTTTTAATCTTACAATATCCCGTTTATACACTTGCTATATGTTTTTAAATGCACATTGATTTTTTGAAGTCCACGAGTATTTTTTAAAGATGCTACAGCTCCACATCTTGGCTACAGTAATATATTTTAAAAAATGATTACAACATTTTTTATAAATAATGCGTATAGTATCCCCGCCTATACATCAACAATATTCTTTCTTTGGGAAAATGCCACAGTATACTGTATCATCATGTAGTATGATATAGTGCATTCTTGGGTCCTCCATTATTATATTATATATATATTATATATATATATATATAATACTATATATATATATATCTATAATAACTCTTCAATTCTTTAATTGTTTTAGGCTGATGGCCTGTAAATTTTCTAATGTTTAATTCTTTACCACTTCACTTTATCTCATCAATTCTTCTTCAAACGTTTATAGACTGACGGAATCAATTAATATCATAGTTTGTATTAAATTTTGTTCCAGTGTGATGATCACTTCAAGAAACAGTTGCTTACCTTGCAAGAACACTATGGAATGGTAATTCGCAGGTCCCCTGCACGCTTGAGCAGACAAACCTCATTTCCTAGGTGAGTTAGACTCGCGCTACACCGGAGAATTTTGAACGTGATAAAGTGGTTGTCTGACTGTAACTAATTCAACTTTTCTCTGAGCAGACCATGCGTGTTCTATTCAGGAAACACGGTTCAGAATCCAACTGATGTAGCTCAAGGTTTTTCCAAATGTGCGATCAAGGAAGCTGAGAAGCCACAACAGGAGAGTTATCCTGTAACAAGAGTTCCTCTTCAAGTTCCTCAGAGGTTCCAAGGTGATTTCCTCTTTTGTCGACAATAGAAATAAAATCCATTTCATAACTACTGTAGTATAATAACTTAATCAGTTGTCAGTATAGGTTAATCAGTGTCCATCGTAGATCATGGAAATGACAGGATCACAGGAAGTGCGTTTTCCAAAATTAGCTAAAAATATAAAACTAACGCTGACGACAACCTTAATTAAGTGAATGGTTGTGCAATCCCCTTTGCTTTGCTTCTGGTGATAGAATTAAAATTAATTTAGACGATAACACTGCATGGTTACTTTATTGAGCTAGCATAGCTACTGAATGAAATATTAAAATTAAGGATCGTGATAATTTTACTAGGTGGAAGGGTCATTTGGTTTATGTTTTGGATCATAGTTTTCTTTTAATGCAAGCTTTTCCCGACCACTAGTGGTGAGCTTTGTGAGACATTTCCAGTGAATGGGAAGACTAAATGTCAGATTAATCATGTAAATAAAAAAACAGCTAATGTAAGAGAGGGGTGTTGATGAACCCTACATTGTTCTTTCTAATCTTGAACTGATTTCAGCAGTATTCTTTTTCGACCACAAGCTTTATAATTGACAACACTTCTTAGTCTTTTGGGTTGAAAGCCCTCTTAAAGACCCTGCCACGACACTGAAATTCTGCAGTTTTAGTAAGGGTTATATTTTATATTCTAACATGTTCCCGCAGATTAAGCGCCCTTTTCATGGGCAACAACCTGGCTACGGTATCACCTTCTTATAAGATCACATTAACTTCGTGGCCAGTGGGATTCCAACTTGGATTGCTCTGGCACCATCTTAAAGACCTTGCCACTACACCAAAACTCCGAAGTTGTGGTGATGGTTGAGCATTATATTTTATATTCTGACAAACTCAGTTAACCTTTATAACCTTCCTCAAATTTTAAATACGTCTAAGTTACTAAACCTTGATAAGGCTATATATACTGTTTTATCCATCCTCTCTGTCAATTTGGAGGTAATATAACATGCTTATGATAATTATGAAGAAAAAAAATGTCTTTTAGTATGTTAATGATGAATGTCAATTCGCAGGGTTCTGAGGTTAATTCTTTTACTTATTGATATTATTTTCAAAGCTTTAGTAACTCAGTGAGGTTTGTTGAGGTAAAGCAGAAGATATGGGAGAAGAAAGCAAAGATATAAGGTTTTTATTGCGGTTTCGATGAAGTAAAGGCTTCGAATTTTGATTATTAGGTTTAGGTTTGGAGTTTGGTGAAGACAAATAAGGAAATGAAGATGTGGTTAAACCCATTTTAAAATTGGGTTTTAGCGGTTAAAACCATTAAAATAGTATTCTAGTTTATCAACCAATTAATTAATTAACTGGTTAACACTGCATAAAGGAGAAAGGAAAATGCAGTGGGATCCTGAGACACACTCTTAGGTGTGGGGGTATGATCAATTTTCACTTGAGGTTACTTGACAGTACTCTGTAGTGATTCCTTTAGTTCAAGCATTGATTGGCTTGAAAGAAAAAAGATTCTAAAGCTTGAGTTATAGTCGCATTTATCATTACATAATAGTACACCGAAGATATTTGCACCCTTGGATAAATACACAAATCCCCAACTCCAGTAATCCTTGGGTGGAGATACTGCTGGTGGTGCACCATTATAAAAGCTTAATTGCTGTCTAACCCCTGTACTATGGCGATTTTTTTTGATTCTTTTGCCCTCGGAGAAAGAAAAAAAAATTGTTTTTTGACAGAGAGTCCCGAGGTTAAAAGAGACAAAAAGCTTCATTCAGGGGTTCTATCTGCAATTTGCCGATAGTAAGAGGGTGCATCTCTAATTTGGTGTTAGTAAAAAGGTCAATCTGCAATTAGCCCTTACAAAAATGGACCGAGACCATTGGATACTTTCTCCTAAAATAGAAACTAAAGGCTGAGGACTAGATTCTCAACAATGTTTGTAAAAGAGGGGTCTCATTTGACATTGTTCTTCCAACACGCTTCACTAATATATATTATTTGAAGGACCCAAATGAGAATAAAGTTAGGAGAGAATAATATTTGTTGTTTATGTTCAATCTCAGGTGCTGCTGCTGTTGCTAGGCCAGGCAAAGTGGTCGGCTCAGTACTCCGATACAATAACAAAGCTCCAAATGCTGCTTCAGCTGCTGCGGAGCAGTTATTCGAGCAACAACGAAGATCCATCAGAAACCCTACCATCATTCCTTCACAATACAACAATTCCTCCTCCGGCTGTTCCTATCCCAGGAGAAACCCTAGCTGCAAGACCGAGAGAGGCGATGACGAGGCGTCAGTGGGACCAGCTGTCATGACACAATCCAAGACCTATATCGGCGGTGCAAGGAAAGTGGCAGCAGTAGCTCGTAGCGGGTTTTAGATTAACGTGATGCCGAATTCTTGAAGGGTTACCTCATAGCTTTTAGTCTTTAACTTACCACCGCTGAGTTTTCCGCGCATTGCCCGTTGTACAGTTTCACACTATTAAGAGATGATGCCGAGATAATATTCAAGTGTGATCTTGGATGATTATATAAATAAAGTTAACGATGGTGCTCGGCGGTTCTGTGATGATTGTATTGTAATAGGGAGAACTGATAGGGCACTTTTATGATGTTATTGAAATTATCTTGTGCTTATGATGACAAACAATTGTTGAATTGTTGTAGGCTTCTGCTATTACTTCGTTTCATTTTATTTCATTATGGCTTTCTTCAAAATTTTAAATTTTTTTTCCTTGGATGGTTTGAAGTGTTGTGAATGAGGCGAAAATTATACTAATTTTATCTTTTGTTGCAAATTGACTATTTGAGTGATGTAATGGGCCTCTCATCTATCTATCTATATTGTATAGCAAGGGGAGTTCCCCTTTTGGTCATTGTTTGTCAAAATTTTACAATTCCTAACATGCCTTTATGTCAAAAAAAAAAAAAAGTCTAGTGTCCTCACACTTAAAGAAATTACCAAAAATGCCGTCACACTTACAAAAATATCCTCACAGTTGAAAAAAAAATAAAAAAGACTGATCTGACACTTGAAAAAAAAAAATCACAGGAATGACCTTGAACTTGGAAAAATCTAAAAAATTGAAAGAAAATGCACCGCAACTAATTGTTCCCTTGACATTCAATTAAAACACTCTTCTCACATTTTTTACCCTATATGCCCCGCGGGACTAACACATTAATTGAAGGGAAGGACGTGGCTCTGATAACCCACCAAAAGCTTTGGATTGTTTCCTACGCCCCAACCCCCCCCCCCCCCCCCTACACACACACACATTATACATAGATCATGATCGGGGCTTCTGCTCTTTGTTTTTTTTTCCTTTCTTGTTTAAAAATTTCAAATCTCATGCATTCTCTATTGTGCATTTGCTCCTAATGTTAGGAAATTATGAAATTTCATTCTAAGATGGTTTCCTGGTCCATACTCCTTCCATTGAAGAGATATCTTTTTTTATTCAAGAGTCATTACAGATCACTTACAACCATGGATTGAGACTATGATTCAAGATTAATGGTGTTAAAGCTAATAAATTTCGGGTTGAGAAGCACAAAAAATTTAGTTCTGAATTTTTAGAAACATATGGAAACAAAAATATATCTTCATTACGTTATTTGTAAAGCTCTTTTAAGAGCTTGAGATTTTTAATCAAGTGTAACAACAAAAGGAAATCTATCAAAAATTAACTACAGACAGGTTCTTTCTAAGAAAATTTTAACCTAGATCAAGAAAAGGGAACATAGTACCCTTTCTTCATTTTCTGCATCCTAGAACTTTCGACTATTAAACAATTTTAGTTAATCATGTTTAGTTATGATCATGTCTAAAAAGGAAAAATGAGTTAAGTGGAAGTAGAACAACGGGAAACTTAAGTCTATTTTCGTAAAGCTGCGAAAAATACGGGTCGGATCCGGACCGGGTTGGCCCGAAAGTTTGCTCGGTTCTCAAACCGCCTTTTCTTAGTCCGCGTAAAATTAACGCGCCTCCTCCTTCTTATAACAAGCCACTTAATTTCCCCTCCCAAAAATATCAATCTTCATTCACCCCTCGCGTTAAGTTCTTCTTCTCCTCTCTGTGATCGATCGATCAAGAACAAGAAGAAGAAGGAATCTGATCTCTCTCACTCTCGAGCACTCAACGATCGATCAATCGAATCTCTGTGATCTCTTTTTCTTTCTAATTTACTTAAAAATTGTTTCTTTTAACTGCTCGCTAACGCTTTCCTTTCTGCAGGAAGAATTTCTAGGGTTTCCACTGCTAATTAGTCTATTTATTGGTTTTTCTTTTAAAAGTTTGCTGCTTTCTAACACTTTCTTTGTTGCAGACAAGCGGACGAGAATTCTAGGGTTTCAATTCTTCCTAGCTTGTTGTTTTCCCCTTTTATATATATTCTATTAGTTTACAATGGATGCAGGGTCTTCCTCTACTGTTAGAGGCCGATCGAGAATTGGGTACCGCCCTCTTCATCCTTTCCTGCCCATCAACGGAAACCCTCGTCCTTACCGACACAATGCTGAGAGGTACATCCCGAATCGGTCTGCTATGGATTTCGGTTTCGCCCGTTATCAGCTTACTCAGTCAGCACCAGACAAGGAGAGGGAAAATGAGGCCACAGAATCAGATTCTCCATCATCGAAAGATGCATACCGGAAATGTCTCGCAAAGGCTCTCGGAATGGACAGAACCCGCATCCTCGCCTTCAGGAACAAACCTCCTCCTTATGCGGAACAGTGCTCTTCTCCTCCTGCAATGAAGCATCGAAAGCGGCAGAGGTCCATCCCTCGGAAACGGAGAGGACCTTGGATCTACCCGGCTTCTTGGATGATTTCTATCTCAATTTGTTGGACTGGGGGAGCAAGGGTGTCCTTTCAATCGCCCTTGAGGATACGGTTTACTTGTGGAGCAACGCAAACGGGGGGTCTACATCAGAGCTGGTGACTGTGGATCAAGAGAGCGGGCCCATGACCAGCGTCTGCTGGGCTCCGGACGGGGAGCGTATCGCTGTTGGGTTGACATCTTCTGACATCCAGCTGTGGGATTCTCAGTCGAATCGCTTGCTGAGGACTCTGCGAGGAGCCCACGAATCCAGAGTCCTCTCTCTTTGTTGGAACGGAAGCATCCTGACATCTGGTGGGGAAGACGGGAAGATTGTCAACCGCGACGTGAGAACTCGATCACAAGTCATCCAGAGATGTCAAGGGCATCGAGGAGAAGTCTGCGGTCTGAAATGGTCGAGCTCTGGGGAACAGCTTGCAAGTGGAGGCAATGACAGATTGATCTACATATGGAACCTCTCGATGTCCTCATCAAGGCCTCAGAATCAGAACCAGTGGCTCCACCGGTTTGAAGACCATACATCAGCCGTGAAGGCCCTTGCTTGGTGTCCATTCCAGAGAAATCTGCTCACATCTGGCGGAGGCGACAATGACCGTTGCATTAAGTTCTGGAATACAAGTACCGGAGCTTGTTTGAATTCTGTCCAAACTAGCTCTCAAGTGTGCTCTGTTCTATGGAACAAGAATGGCAGGGAATTGTTAAGTTCTCACGGGTTTACAGACAATCACCTGGCTCTCTGGAAATACCCGTCAATGACTAAGATGGCAGAGCTTACTGGTCACACCTCTCGAGTTCTACATATGGCTCCGAGCCCAGATGGGTCCATGGTAGCATCTGCAGCAGCTGATGAATCGCTAAGATTTTGGAGAGTATTTGGAGATCATGATACGCCGAAGCCTGCAGCCAATCCCACAGGTTCTGAGGCTTCTGGTAATTTCAGCAGATATTTTATCAGGTAGATGTCGAGAGGAAAAGCTGGGCTGAGCCGTAAACCTGAAAACTTAGCCTGGCTGTGATAAGTTTGAGGAGAGATTGTACAATTCTCATGTCCTGCAGTCAACTCCTGGGAGATGAAACAATGAGATGTATAGATCGATATGCTTTTGGACATTACATTGTAAAAAGGTAAATATCAATAAAAATGATTTATTTTTCTTTTGAAGCTTGACTTTTGAAATTTGAACTTACAGTCTAAGATCTGCTTTTAATGGTCTATATTTCTGTCTTTATATCATCTTGCCTATTTGTTGCTGGAACTTCTTGGGTGGGTTGTTTATGTCAGTACCTAGTCTTTCATTATTATCTCTTTTTCGTTAATTTAGAAGGGGGCAATGACTTGATCTGTCAATTTAACTTGGTGTTTATAACATATTTGACCTCAAACCTTAAAATACCGGCTCGGATTGTCTCCAAGCTTTAAAAAAAACCCATCCTTCGCATCTCCGAGTATCCATAAGAAGTACAACATCCTTCAATTTTAATTTTCCATCATGGTACCTGGTAATTAGCAACTTTATCACCACAATTAACCTAGCTGTGTTGGTGTTCCTAACCATGCAAATAATTTTCAGCTTAACTTTGTCTTTTGTCCTCTCTGTTATCATCTAGTCCCTCTAGGAAAAAAAAATTGCTTAAATAGCTTTGAGAATGAAATTTGACACAACAAAATAATCATTTCCTGCACGTTTGTAGGCTTTCCTGAAAAACACCATGAAACATGCACTTTTATTTTCCGAGTCCATTGAAGTTCTTCTGAAAGTGCACACGTTAATTCTCCGACTAGGTGAGATTATTCCTTTTAGAATGAACTAATTGTGGCAACCCAAGCTTTATTTTGGTAGAGCATGTAGACATCTACTACAGGTTATATACGTACCGGCCACGTACCTGGAACAATACTCCTTATTGTTGTTATTTTTTATAATATTTGAGAATATGTTGTGAAGCTATGGTGAATATGTCTACGCTTAGGCAGCCTAATTGGGACCTGAAGGAGTGTCTTTATTAGGGAATATGCACACGTAGACACGAAAACATGCACGCATATGAGGAAAAAACACATGCTTGCACATACACACTTGTTAATAATTATGCCAATTAATGCCCAGTGTGGGGACACATTTAGCACCACTACACCAGTTAACTTGTTTAATGCCTCTCTTTGACCATTTTTAAATCCAAATACCCGCCTATAAAATAGTTTAATACGTTTCTAATTGGAAGCTGTGCCATTCACAACTTTTAAGCTATTCATTGATTTGTTGTGACCTCTTGAGCATCTTGTTCATTTGGCTGTTTGTGCAAACCCTTCGTTTATTTTTTTTAAAAGGTTTTGATAGAATTGCAAAGGGAGCGTTTGACAACCGTTGCGTTTTTGTCGTCTCAGTTTTTTTTTAACAAAAACAAAGAAACGCGTTTGGCAACCGGGACGTTTTTTTGACTTATTCCTTTACAAAATCTAAAAATTAAACACTTTTCTTAAAACACCAAAAAAGTGTTTTAATATTCCGTTTT